ATTGCTCCAGTTTTTCTCTCCTGGTGTCAGATCCCTTCGGGACATCCGGGCCACGCTGACTGCCATCTGAATTGGACAACACACACACACACACACACACACACACACACACAGATGTGTGTGAACACCACACTCACTCACCCTGCATCTGGACAGACAGACACACGGGTGTCAGAAGACGCTATCCGACACAGCCTCGTGTGGTGACACACAGAGACCACAGACCCGTGGGCACACATTGACACTCGTATGACGTCGCACCATGGTCCCCCCACCCCCTGCTCTTCAGCAGACTCTGCAGACTTTGGCCATAGGGCTGAGGACCCTCTGGTTGGGTCTGGTCACCATCCATTATTGGGCGAGCCATTGAGAGGAGGGGCCAGGGTCCCTACTAGTTGCCCCTTCAGGGGGCCCAGATGTTGGGTGATGACCAGGGCCTGTGTTAGCTGTCGTCCTTGTTGCTAGGGAGCCTCAGTGGGATGGTTCAGGGAGGCGTGGGGATTTGGGAGGAAGAGGGTGCTTTTACTTATATGCCCATCAGATGTTAATTGGGTCTCTTCTCTATGCTACGTCTTCTGAGGTCAGTGGTTCTCAGCCTGTGGGTCGAAACCCCTTTGGGGGCCGAATGACCATTTCACAGGGGTCGCCTAAGACCATCGGAAAGCACATAAAGATTTCACAATATGTGACATATTGTTTTTGTGACCCCTATGCTTTAATGATGTTCAATTTGTAACAGTGAAAATACACCCTATCAGATATTTACATGGCGACTCATAACAGTAGCAAAGTGACAGTGATGAAGTAGCAAAGAAAGTAATTGTATGGCTGGGGGGTCACCACCACATGAGGAACTGCATGAAAGGGTCGCAGCACGAGGAAGGTTGAGAACCACTGCTCTAGGTGATGCCTGAAGCTTCAGGACAAGTGATTCCCCCTCTCTCTGCCACCCCAGGTGATGATCTCTGAACCTCTGGTCCAGCCAGGCCCTGGGGGCATCTCCTCTCCTACCGATCCTCAGACCAGCTGGTAGAACAAAGATGGCAAGAGCGGCTCAGGCCACCTCAAGGGCCACTTCTCCTCAGCCACCTCTTCTTCCTGGCCGCTAGGGACTCTTCTCTTGGCACTCTGCTCCCTTGGGGATTGTGTTGAGCCTTGTGACTTTCATGTCACCCACATGTGGACAACTTACCCACTCATATCTCTGACCAGGGCCTCTCCTGTGAGCCCTGACCCCAGTCCCCCATGAGTATTCCTGTCTCCCCGGGAGGTCCACGGCCAACTCCAAAGCAAGGTGGTCAACACTGGCCTTTAGATCTTCCTCCACCCCCAACCTGTTCTTCCCACGGCCGTAAAACTCTGCCCTTCACCCCCACGTTCCCGGGCCTACCACCTGGTTTGTCTTCACAGCCCTCTCTGAAAAGAGGTGTGTGTTCACTGGTTTGGCTTATTTCCTGCAGGCACTGACTCTTTTGTACATCTGATCTCCGTCCGGTTCCAGCTTGTGTGGGAGCTTAGTAAATGACTGACCAATGAGTGGGTGACTCCTCCCAGAGGCAAGTCTGAGCTGGCTGGCACCTCCTCCAGGGAGCCCTCTGGAATGCCCCCACCGGTTTGGGTTATAGGCTAGCCTCTCTCATATCCTGTGCTCCCTTCTACCTCTGCCTGTCCCTTCCCTGCGGCCCACCCTCTCCCATCCCTGTCCCCAAAGCTCAAGGGCTGTCATGTGTAGGGGGGCTGGGCAAGTCTGTCCAACAGACTCCTGTACCTTGAGCTGTCAGGCCCACCTCCCTCAGACAGCCCCGCCCACTTCTGCATGGAGCTCCACCCGGGTGGGGTGGGTGGGGAACTCCTCCATCTCCTTGAGGTTGGGAGGGTACTTCCTCTGGCCACCACCCACTGAGTGTGATAGGAGCTTAGGGCCCTCATCCTGCAAGAGTGACATCCGCTGTCCAGCTCAGCACTAGCCTGCCACAGGTCCAGGGCCAGCACACTCTGCCTGCTACCTGGGCTCAAACTGAGTTCCTATGAAACACAGCCACACCCCACAGCACATGGGTGGGGGTGAGGAGGTGGGGAGAGGACACGTGGCCAGTAAAACCAGTCACCAGTTTATGTTGAGTTGACTTGGGCTCACAGCATGGCAAATCCGGGGTCCCAGAGGAACATGGTGTTCCGCCACAGGCCTTTCAGCTGCTTGCTTTGGGAAGTGGATCACCAGGCCTTTTTTCTGAGGCACCTCTGGGGGGACCCAAACCTCCAACTCTTCCGATCGCACGAACCGCTTGCATCCCCCAGGACTCCTATGGCCTCAGCATCTCAAATGCCATCCGGTCCTTTCCAGGACAAGTGTTCTGACCCCTGTTACGAATGCTCCGAACACACTGTTGGATGAAGTCAACTCTGATCAGTCCTCCCGAATCCCATGCTGCACCTGGAAGTTCAAGTTCACCCACCCACCCAACCTGACCGCAGTTGAGTCGACTCAGACTCACAGGGACACTGCAGGGCAGAGAAGACCTGCCCCATAGACTTTGGAGCCTGTAAATCTTAGCAGAAGCAGCCTGCCTCATCTTTGCCCAGTGGAGCAGCTGGTGGAGTTGAAGCATCAACCTTGTGGTTAGCAGTCCAATGCTTAACCCATGGTGCCACCAGGGTCCCTTCTAAGTTCATGTCAGAAAAACAAAACCAAAAACACTCGAACTCCCTGCCATGAACTGGACACCAGCTGTAGGACAGAGCAGAACTCCCTGGTGTATTTTGGAGGCTGTCAGTCTTTACAGGACAGCAGTAAGCCTTATCTTTTTCCTGCAGAGCTGCTGGTGGGTTTGAACTCTCGACTTTGCAGTTAGCAGCCCAACGCATAACCTGCTGTGCCCAAAGCAAACTCACTGCCTTCCAGTTGACTCATGGCAACCCCACAGGACAGGGTAGAACTACTCTTGTGGGTTTCTGAGATTGCAATTCTTTTTGTGGGAGTAGCAAGCCTTATCTTTGTCCAGAGCAACAGCTGGTGGTTTTGAACTGCTGTCCTTTTGGAGAGCAGGCTGACACGTAACCACTATGCCACCAGGGCTCCCCAAATGAACCACCCTCCTCTCTTCTTTAAAAAATGAGGGGATTGAAGCATAGAGTGGAGTAGAAATAGTCATAGAAGAATCTTCTATAACCTTTCTTTATTTAACAAACAGCATTTATTCAGTAGCTATTAGATTCCAGGCACTGTGCTAAACCCAACTGTCAATGAGAAGATAGTGCTCCTGGTCCCTCTGATGAAATCCTCTACCACCCCTGGGCTCTCCTGGCTGAGAGAGTGACTCCTAAGAGTGGCCCAGCCCTGCCTCCTAGGGCAAGCTGGGTCTCCGAGGGTCCTCCCCTTGGCCTCTTCCTCATGCACACACCGTGGTCTCCCCGGCATTGAGCACAGGCTCGATACATACAGGAGGCGCTCAGTCCCTGCTCAGTCCCGGCTCCCAGCACTGCCTGCCCTTGCAGCCTAACCACAGCCTTGGCAAAGAGCCCCGACGCAGTAACGGGTAGCGACAACCAAATGGCCCTTTAGGAATTCCACTTAAGAGCAGTGTCTTGAGGGAATTCAGACATGGAAATGACAAGTGCTGGAATATATTTCCCTTCTCCATCAAAGGATCTGGAAACTGCAGCGTCTGCCAGCCTCTCTCTCTCTCTCTCCTGCCGCCTGGCTGGCTTCACGTGGCCAGGGCTTTCCAATGAAACCCAGATTCCAGCCGGCCTGAGCCGGCCCCGTTTGATGTAGGGAGGAATGATTGGGAGAGGCAGGGGAGAGCCACATAATAATGTGCCTCCTACATTTCTCATAGACGTGATCTGAGGGGGAGGGAAGGGAGGCTCCAGTGGCCTCCCTGTGGTCCAAGAAGGGTGCCCGGCCACGGGCAGAGGGGGGGCGGGGTGCTCCTGGGAGGAGAACAAATGGGGACAGCAGGAAGAGTGGCTGAGAGTCTTAAGCAGAGAGGGCCACTCCTGCTCTGAGGCCCTGCAGCCCCGCCGACAAGGACCCTCAGCCCCTCTCCTGGAAATCGCTTCTCAGGGAGCAGCTTGCCTTGTTAGCTTTTGCTGAGTCTCTAGACCTCCTCCTTTGGGCCTCAAAATGCTTTCTCTTGATAATAATATGTCTCAGATGGATTTAAGGTGGCAGCTGTTACACTAGGATTTAACTTTGACATTGGCTTGTGGAGGAAGGAATAAAAAAAGATAATCTCTCTCGTGTTCAGTCGAAGTTGCAGTTGGGCACAGCCTGATGAAATTCTTTATCCAGTTAATCTAGAAATACTTATTAAGAGGTGTTTTATTTTTTAATGTGTCAGGCACGGGACTGGGGGTATCATAGTGGGCAGGAGGGGGCAGGGGCATGTCCTTGGAGGGAGTGACAGGATGGCAAGGCAGCGGCTATGCCCATAGCCCAGGTCCCCCGATGTCGGATAAAGCTGCTATGCTGTGATAGCCAGGGCAAGAGGCTGGGGGGACGTCCTGGAGGAGAGGGCATTTCGGTTGAGACCTGGGGGGTGGGTAGGAGTTGGAGGGAAGAGCAGGAGGCGCTTTGGCCTCCAGGAAGGGGAGCAGTTGGGGGGTTGGGGAGCTCGGCGTTTTCCTGTCCTCTGCTGCTGTTAGGCACAGAGCCCGGTCACGCGGTGGGTTGCGCCTTGGGCTTCTAATGGAAAGAGAGGCCAGTGGTTCAGAACCCTCAACCTCTCTGCAGGGGGATGGGGGAGAGATGAGACTTTCTGCTCCCCATAAAGAACCCCACAGGGGGCTGACCTACACGTCCTATAGGGTCGCGATGGGTCGGGTGTCCACTCCACGGCAGGAAGTTTGAGTTTTGAGCAGGCACGGGGGTGGGGGGCGGTGTTCCACAGAGGTAGGGCTTTGAACTTTCTGACTTTCTAGCAGGGCAGGGCCACCAGGCGTGGTGGGGCCACGAGACCGGGCGGAGCCACCAGGCAGGGCTGGCGGCCAGTACTTACGGAGGAAATATTCTGCGGTGTCCGCCTCGTAGTCTGTATCCTCGGGGAAATGGTCGATCTGCTTACACAGACCTTTGAAGTTCCCTGCAAAACCAGGGGGGAAGCAGACGGTGAGACCTTGCAAGTTCCCTGGTGCCTCGCCCACCGGCCTGGGCCTGACCCCCCACTGAAGCTGGGGAGCCGGCCTGCCCCCGCCCGAGGCAGGCACCTCTGCCCGGAGAATCAAAACACCCCGACTCCACACCCCAGCGGTGCAGCCGGGCGAGATGTAAGGCCCCAGACTTCAAAACCCTGCCTGCCGTCTGAAGCTCAGGCTCGCTCTGTTCGGTTCTGGCTGGGGAGGCCACCGTGCAGGTGGGGAGGGCACTGGGTGTTTTGCACGTGGGCATGCGGCAGCTTGCTCTGCACAGGAGACGGTGCCCAGACGGAGGCGGACCAGCAGGCCCATAGCCCTTGAGACCGGCCTGGCCAGAGCCTTTCCATCTGCGATGGAACAGCACGGAACTCATCACCCCCCACCCCCTCGGCCCCGGCTCCCTGTGGCTCCGAAAGCTTCCTAGGCTTGAGCCCCCGCTGAGGGCCAGGCTCATGAAGAACTCCAGTCCCTTTAGCCACCTCCCAGGCTGGGAGGTATGGGGAGGGGTCCTGTCATCTCACAGCAGGAGACACTGAGGGCCCGGGAGGTGAGGGCTCCGAATGAGGGCTCTTGGCTAGGGGAGCGATAGAAGGCAGCAGGGCTCCCACCAAGGCCGCTTGACTCCTCAATATCTCCTACGTGTTGCTGAGAGGGTGGGTGAGCACCAGCTCAGGTAAGGGCCCCCACTCCCCCGCCTGCCCCAAAGGCATGGGGTGACTGAAGGAGCTCTTGCACTCTCCGTCCTCAAGGCCAGCGACTAGAATAGACTGGATCCTCGCCAGTCTCCCGACAGCAGAGACTTTGGCTGGAGAAAGAGGAGACTTTATGCCCCCCCCTGATGTGTCACGGCCCCAGAAACCCACAGCGGCACTTCAACCCTGTCCTGTAGGGTCACCGTGAGCTTGAGCCATTCCTTCCCCGCGCCCCGCAGTGCCAAGGTGAACACAACCAGCTGGCGAGCAGGACCCAGTGGGCGAGATGCATGGGCCTGCCAGGGTTCCTTGGCAAGGTGGATGGACACAGTGGCTGCAAACAGAACCATTGTGAGCCTGGCCTCGGGCCAGGCAGTGGCTCGTCTTGTACGTAGGGTCACCGGGAGTTAGGATGGACTCAGGGACACCTAACAACCACCCCCTCATGAAAACAGTCCTCAGTACGAATCGCAGGAGGAAGATGTGGGCAGTCCGCTCTGTAGAGATGTACGGCCTCAAAAAGCCCGACACTGCCCTGGAGGGTGGCTATCAGCTGAAATAGTCGTGGCGGCCTCAGATGGGTGGGACAAAGCCCGGCGATTCCTATTTCATAAAGCAGGAGTGGGTTTTATTAGGTGCTATAGCTCGGATTTGAATTATGCTTCATTTGAATGGTGGCATTGGCGAAGAATATTCTATCACAGGCTGCCCGAAGAACAAACAACTTGGCTCGTAAGAAGGCCAGGCAGAATGCTCCTTAGAAGTGAGGGTGGTGAGACTTGGCTCATGGATTTTGGACATGTTACCAGGAGGGATCGGCCCTGGAGGAGGACATCATGCTTGGTAAAGTAGAGGGTCAGAGAAAAAGAGGAAGGCCCAAGGAGATGGACTGGCCCAGGGACTACCACAGTGGGCTCAGACAGAACCACACTTGCGAGGATGGTGCAGGACCGGGCAGTGTTTCCATCTGTTGCCTGTGGGGCCACTGTGAGTCACAACTCAACAACACCTAACGACCACTCTAGATATTATTTAGGAATTCAAGGCCTGAGTACATAGTCCTATATATGGTATTGACGGCTGTATAGGCAGCAACTGAGTGTATTATTTATACTCTATATCCGTGGCTCTCCACCTTCCTCATGCCTCGACCCTTCAATACAGTTCCTCATGTGGTGGTGACCCCCAAACATAAAATTATTTTCGCTGCTACTTCATCACTGTCATTTTGCGACTGTGATGAATCGGGTGACCGCTATGAAAGGGTTATTTGACCCTCGACCCCCAAAGGGGTTGCGACCCACAGGTTGAGAACCGCTGCTGTATATAGAAATAGGAGCGTCTTAAGTACTTTTAGCTGGAGAAAGATGGGGCTTTCTACTCTCATACAGTCTTGGAAACTCACAGGGGCAGTTCTACTCTGTCCCGTAGGGTCACTATGAGTCAGCAGTGACTCGATGGCAGTGAGGGGATCAGTAATTTTTATAAGGGCCCTGTGGGGCACACATGGTCCCCTCCCCCTCAGTCACTGGGCCAAAGGTTGGTGGTTTGAATCCACTACCACACTCAGAGTGACCCTCCAGGACAGGGTAGAACTGCCCCGGTGGGTTTTGGAGACTGTGACTCTTTATGGGAGTAGAAAGCCTCCTTTTTCTTCCCACAAGCAGCTGGTGGTTTCAAACTGCTGACCTTGTGGTTAGCCGCTCAACGCGGAACCAATGCGCCCCCGGGCTCATTGTAATTACTAATTACAGCCATTGCAACCCATACGGATTGCTGTTGTATCCAGAAGCATATGGGATTGCCATGAACACCCCTCCCCACCCCCTGTTTATATTTTAGCGAGGGTTTTATACGACCAACTGCAGAGACGATTGCTGGGCCTTCCCATGAACCAAATTCGCCTCCTCTCTCGGCTTCTGAAAGAATCCCAGGTCCCCAGAGCATTTGCAGGCCTTGCTGGCAGGCCTTGTGAAGCTTTGTGGGGTCTCTCTTCCTGATCACCCCATCTGTGTCACTGTCTCCTGTCCTCTCTCTTTTTTCCCTTCCCCCCTCCTCTCTCTTGCTCCAAGCACCCCTTCCCTCTGTCCGTGTGTTTTTATAGGCAGTCTCCCCACACCTGCCACCCCCCAGTAGCTTATCAAAGCACTTTGCTTAAACACACACACACACACACACACACACACACACACACCTCACCTGAGAAGAATTTTTCCCACCCGCTGCTAAGAGGATTTAAAACACACACACACACACACACACACACACACACACACACACACACACACACTCCCCCTTATTGTTAAATTACAAACCGGTGTCTTTGAGAAGCTCTTCGCCAAGCGCGTCCCTTTTCTTTCAATTCTATCTGACAAATGTTGTCGCCAGTGCCAGCTCACGGCCAGGCATCTTTATGAGGAATCAGAGCAGGAGGTGAGGCGGGGACAGCAGCACTGACATGCCCCGAGGCTCCTAACAAGTGGGCCAGCGCTCAGCCCGGAGCCCAGCGCTGCCCAGTGGGAGCCCCACATCCACACCTGCTCCCCATGCCGCCTGGCAGCGCCACGGGCACGGACGGAGCCTGTTGCCCTTAGCACCTAGCGCAGTGCCTGGCGCAGGAGAAGGATCTGAGCGGAAAGAGTCAAGGCCCAATGGCTCCTTTGTGGGCCAGGCCCGAGCATCCGACTGCCTAGTTGGTGTTTCCTTGTGGCTGCTTCAGGTCCCTGGGTTGGTACCCATGCTGGCACTCGACTACTAGCCTCAGAGGGTTGGCACTTTGAACCCTCCCCGATGGCACATGGAAGAAAGACCTGGAGATACGCCTTCTTAAAGATTAGCCTACAGGCAGGAGAAGATGCCGGGGGTGGGATGAAGGGGGGGGGCAGCGGTTGGAAGGCAAATGCTGTTATAGACACAATCCTGCAGTAGCGGTGATCTCTGGGTAGATGTTTGGGTAGACACACCGGCTGAACAGGTGTGGGAGGGAGAGTGGGGGTGTACCCAAGATTATAGATAGACTTGACAGGGGATATTTGTGTCTGTGTCTTTACCTTGGCTGCAAATAGACCCCTGAATGTGGCGGAGCCGACAGAGGACTGTGTTAGGAGAACCTGTTAATCATGTAACCCAACGCTGTAAGGGCATTAGTTGCGGGGCTGGGGGACAGAATGCTCTAGATCCCACCTTGGGGAGTCGAAGGGTGGGTCTTCACAGCTGGTGAGCAGCCAGCGAAGGTGCAAGTCTTCAACTCTCCCCAGCTGGAGAGAAGAAGGAGCGATGACCGTGGAAGGACAAGGGAGGCAAGGAGTCCAGTGGACTCCTGGGCCGTGCACACATCCGAACCCATGACCCTGAGACCAGATGAACTAGCTGGTGTCCGCCCACCAGCCCCCACTGCTTCGAAAGGGGTCACCTTAGACGGTCCTGGATGGAGTGGGAGAAAAATGTGGAGCAGAACTCCAAATCATAAAAGAGACCAGGCTTACATGTGGGACCCCTGACCCTATCCCCAAGTTAGAACAATTGGTGTTTAGGATGAAAAGAGCAGCGTCTGCCTCAGGACAGAGTTCAGAGGGCTAGGAAAGGAGGCCAATTGGGAGCGGAAGCAGGGGCGGAAGGCAGGGAAGGGACGGCCCACTGAGGGATGGCAATGGCCAAGTGGATCAGAACACGTTGGGGTAGTTGGCTGTGCAACTGATGGTCTGGTTCTGCAAACCCTCACCTCATTCACCATAAAAAGAGAAGATTCTATTACAGACCAGCAAGCCCTAGGGCGTTCACAGAAAAGCTACAGTTCCTCTCGGTAGCCCACGGGGGTTGCCATAAGCTGGGATGGGCTTGAGGACAATGGCTTGGTGCTTTTGGTTTTAAAAGCACTCTACCTTCAACCGGATCAAATCGGAACTTCTGCTCCTCTCCTCAAGCCTGGCTCTGTGGGGTCATCGGCCGGCTCAGGGAATGCCTCCCATCACCCCCTCATGCAGGCCCAGGCCCAGGCGTCATAGCAGACATCTCCTCTCTGTGGAGTCTGCCCCCTGTACCCTGCCCTGTCCATATCTGTGGTTCAGTCTCTCTCTCACACCCACCCACCCCTTTTGAGCCGTCAGCAGCATGGCTACCACCAGGCCACCATCCCTGCCAGGGTCACCTTGCGCTCACTCTTGTCCCTCTCTGATTCTTTCTTCCACGGACCACCTGGATGAGCCTTTAAAGATACAAACCAGAACAGGTCACCTCCAGCTTAGAACTCTCCAGGG